AACACAACACCTTGCCTGGCCCTCTTGCTCTCGTACGTAACAACGTCGACATGACATATCCATCACGCCCGATCTTCGTTCGTATTCGTCATTAGACCGTCCAAAACGCCTCGAATGCACGTGTACCCGGTTGCACCCCTTCCTTTCCCTGTCCTCTCTTGCGCCGTCCGCCGTAGTGGTACAATAAGAGAAAACACACGTCCTAGTCTCAGGCCAGTATTCTAGGGTCATGAACCTTGGACTGTTTGGTTCATGCCTTCCAACAACTGTCTGATAGATTTCATTAGATGCTGCTCGACGCCTTCAAAGTTGCCGACTGTTTCACCCTCCCCAGGCGGGGGCACGATGCTGGCGTCTGCGAAGCCCAGGACGCGGTCAATGGCAGACAGGGTGACCGCCTCCGCCTTGGCCTCACCCAGCTTCGCCCTCAGCGCCTTGACCGAGACGTCCTTGAAGCCCGTGAGAGATGCAAGAACCCTGGGTTCAAGAACAGGTGGTAGGTCACTGGCAGGCGGAGAAGCGGAAGCTGCTGGCCCAGGGGTAGGGCTATTCTTGGTGAAGCCTTCCATAACCTGACGGATGCCCTTCATACAGATGCTTTCCATCTTGTCATTCTCTGTTGCCTGCTTTTTGAGACCAAGGCATCGATTGAGAGCCGACATTACTATGCCTTCTGATCTCGGGTTACGAGCCCTGTTCAGGTTCAACACCAGGCCGTTCTTGAGGTTGACCACAGCCGCAAGAAGACGGGGGTCGATGACAGGGCGGGCTGGGGCAGCAGCTGCTGGTGCTGTAGCAGGTGGACGAGTTGTCTGAGCAGCGGCAGTAGCAGGAGCAACAGGTTGGGAAGCTGGCGCAGGTCCAGGGACAGTCTTGGCTGCTGCTAGTGGCGGAGGCGGTTGAGCAGACGCTGCTGCTGTGGGGGCTGCGGGTGCTGCATGTCCATCTTCGCTCTTGACCGGAGGGTTTGCTGGCGGTGGCGGTCTCGGCGCATACGGTGAGCTGTAGGCGCCTGGTTGAGGACCGCCGAGCTGGGGCCTAGCTGGAGCTGGCGGAGGTCCATAGCCTGCCGGTAGCTGTGCGGGTGCCGGCGGTTGTGTTGGCGCTGTCTGGGCTGGCTGGCCCGAGGATGGTTGACCGGGAGCTGGCTGGCCGGGGGCAGGAGGAGAGGCCGACGCTGCGTAAGGCTGCACTGGTCGCGCTGCCTGAGCCTGCTGTGCGTTGTAGGCCGGCATTTGATATGCCGGAGGTGCTTGGCCAGGGGGGTATCCAGGAGCCCCGGGTGCCACGTGCTGCGCAGCACTGTATTGATACGAATACTGCTGATTGTAGGCTTGACTGGCTGCCAGATTATTGCGGTCGGGAGAGGATGCCTTTCTCTTCTTCCCTGCGTCAAGCTCAACTCCAGGGACACGAGACCAGAGATTGGTAGTCTCGTCCTTCCTGAAAGCCTCGTTCCCAATGAGATTGTGCCGCACACTGCTCTCCCACCCCTTGGTCTCAGTGCGGAAGAAGAAGTATGGATATCGTTCGCAGATTCGCTTGTAGATCTGCTTAAGAGTGAGACCATCCGGTCCTGCTGCCGTGAGCGTCTCGTCGATGAGCACGCCGTAGTTCTTGTTGGGCTTCTGCAGCTCTTCTTTAGTGTAGTCATTGACATTGAGGTTGAGAGGCGGTGACTTGGGGCGGGCCTTCTTCTCCTTCTTTTCTCGGGCACGCCTCTCAGCGTCGGAACCCTCGGCGCCATCTTCCTTGGGCTTGCGAGGCTTGTATTTGCGCTTCTCAGGTCGCTCACTAGCATCGTCAGGCAGAGGATGTTTCCTGGGCCTTCCCACCTTGCGTTTGATGGGTGGTTCAACCGGGGGAGCTTGTGGCAAAGTCTTCTTAGCCATCTCTTGCTGCTGCTTCTTTAGCAATCGCTGTTCCCGTTTCGACATGATGCCGTTCTTTGGTGGTCTGCCCGGGCCTCGCTTCTTGGGAATCTGAGGCATCAGAGCGTGCGGTTGAAGTTCAGTCTCGGGTGCCAATTCAGGTTTGACAAAGTGCTCGTGTACCGGAGCAGGTCTCTCCGGTTCTGGCTCTCGCTTTGGCTCTGGCTCTGGTTCAGCCTCCACCGTCTCCATCGGTTCAGCTTCCTCAGCTTCATCCGCCTCTTCAGCTTCTTCAGCTTCAGCTTCAGCCTCGTCTTCTTCTCCAAAGTCGGACAACTCAGGCGGGCTTGCCACCTCGGAGAGCTCATCGCTCGTGTCCTGGACTTGCCCATTGACGTGTGAGGATTCAAAGTCGAAACTCATCTCCTTGCCGCCATGGGCATGTCGTTTCTGAACCGCTGTTTCCTCTTCCACGTCCTCTTCAGCACCTGTCCGGCCTCGCTCAACTCCGTTGATTAGGAATCGAAAGTCGATGTCCTTGATCTGGAGGCGATCACCACATTTCAGCACCACCTTTTCGCTCTTGTAGTGAACATCTTCGCAAAAGAAGCCATTCTTATGAAGCGGGATGGCCTCAAAGACACCCTCCTTCTCATTATATGCAATCTTGAGATGCTCTCGCGAGATGGCCTTGGTCTTGGACGCGATGTTGGGACCTGGTGAGTGAATGCCGATAAAGGGGACGTGCCAGGGTGATGGTCGTAATGATGTCAAGTCTACTGCCGCAGCGCCAGGGGTATGAGAAACATATTGTCGATTAGAGATCATGTTTTCTTGCGCCTGCGCCGCCGCCTCATCGTTGTCGTGCTGCGATGAACCTTGAGTGCTAGTCTTTCTTCGCTTTGCTGGCCGACCATTCTCTCCGTTGTCTGATTCAGGGCCCAACATTCCTCCCTCCTCGCTCACGTAGGATTTACTAAATTTGCTTCGGTCAGGTCCTCTTGGGGGAGATGGGGGTGGAAGGCCATTCTCCGCATGCTGTTCAACACGGCGACGGTAAGCTTCGTCACGCTTCTCATCGCGACGTGCCTGCTCCAGTGCGCGCTGATCTCGTCCAATGATGACGGCGTACGTAGTCATCTGGAAGACACTGTCGGCAAACTCGATCCGAGCAAACGACTCGAGGGTCTTATCAGCGTTCGCCTGACGGATCGAGTTTGCCGGAGCAAGGGCATTAAAAGCTTCGTCCATGGGGTTAGGCAATGTGACCTGTGAGGGGGTGATTGTAGTCGGCGGTGCCGCCATTGAAGCCAATGCCATCATCATATACGCATGCTGGTTAAGCGTGGGCAAGGACACCGCGTTGTATGGCGTCGAGGGCGCGAATGTTTCATTCATGTTGTTTGCGGGGATATCCAGCTGCATCGGAGTAGTTTGTTGGAGCTCGACAGCACTGTTTGATGGCGCACTGGCGTCAACGGGGGCAGGAGCATCGGGCATCGGGAGGTCGTTGGAGTTTGCATCAACAGGAGCCAAAGCCTGTGTACTTGAAGTCGTCTCTTGTGGTCGTGTTCCAAGCGCGGCGTCGGCGTTGAGAGCAGAGGTTGCGAGAGTGTTTAGAGCGGATCGGGGAGGCGGCGTCGAAGGTGGAGGCTGCGACGCCGGCGCTGTCGCCGAAGCAGAAGTTGTAGCTTCTCGATTCGGAGTCGAGGGTCTCGGTACAGGAGCGGTCGAGGATGCTGTTGGCGATGTTGTGGACGGGACTGTTGGAGCTGAAGCTGGAGTGGGTGTGGGTGCCGATGGAGCAGCGGCAGTTGGCGGAGGCGCGGCGGATGTTGCTGATGATGATGATGAGGACTCGGCGACAGGCCCTGCGGCCGTTGAAGAAGGTGCATTTGCCGAAAGTGAAGCAGAAGGAGGCGCCGAAGTGGCCCCCTTGGAGTCGCGACTGTCGGCGTCGCTGGCATGGGCGGTGGCGGGCAGTGTCGCCGTCGCTGTCGATATCGGTGCCGGAGTCGTCGCGACCGCGACCTGGGGTTCCGGGCGGTTCCCCAGGGCGTCGGGCAGGCCATTGCGGCCGGTCATGGACGAAGTCATCGCTGTTCGCAGGAGCAGCTCCTTCGTCGCTTCGCCCTCACGGGGGTTGTGACTGACGACGACGGGACTCGACTTGGGCGCCGGGGCCGTGATTTTGTCGAGAATGACCGTTTTGGGGACAAGGGACGGGGAAAATAAAAGGTTCGAGACAAGGGAACGAGGCTTTCGCCTGGGTCCTTTGAGCCGCGATGTCTGGGAGGGTCAGAGGGGGGAAGGCTGCGCGCCGTGATTGGCCTGAGAAGGGGCTCCTTCCCTCACGGGCTCCGAATCTCCTCTCACTTGCTAGCCTGACTGGTGATGGCTCCTGCCGCTAGTACCCATAGGGGGACAAGGTAGGGACGACCGTGACGATGGGCACTGGACCGTTGAAAGCCTCCTTCCCTATGGATTCGTTGGAATGAGATGTTGGAGTGTAGATGGGAGCCTATTTTACAGACAGAATGTTGGAGAGTTTTGCTGACAAGATGCCGATGATGAGCGACACAATTGTCTCTTGGAGTGCAGGTGGTGATTTGGCTTGCGTCTTGGTTTCACGGTGCGCCATTGGTCGTTCGTTCCTTGTTATTCAGGAAAGAAAACAATCCGGGGGACCTAAGAGCCAGGTGCTACTTGCCTCCCCTGCCAGTTCCAGCTTCGATGATTCACAACGGTAAGAGCCACCCAAACGTGCTCTCATTATTGTACCAGATGATCAAGATCAATAATAATGCAAGCACGGTCTCACTTTTATTCAATCTTCTCTCCTGTTCGTTTTGTCAACGCTCAATGTTGGATGTGAGCGTTCGTCGCTTACTCATGACATCTTCCTGATAGCCAGGGATACCCGTGCATCAGTAGCTCAAATGAGGCCGTCTCCAGAGGCGCCCTTAACCAAACAAATAAACATTCCTCCAGGCACTGAAGCCCTGTATCTCAGTCTGCACCGTGGCTTGATGTGGTGGAAATGGTACATAAAACCCCTTATTCACGTTTTGATGGATGACGATGGGATCCTTGCTACAGCATGTTCAACTTCAATGAAGCCCCAAGCTTGAACATCAACTTCTTACACCTACCTACTAGCTACAGAAAATGTCGTATATCTGAAGGATCTATCTCATGATGCGCTCATGCCTTCTCATGCCCAACAAAATGCAACCTAGAGCCCAACGCCAACGTGGTAAGATAAGCTCCAAGCCTTGTGCTCATATTCTGAGTCAACGATAATGAGTGTCGCGCAAAGAATACGTTGACCATAACACGTGTCAATGCCAATACCAAATGTCTACGAGGGAAAGAAGCAATGCAAAAGCCAAACGCCGTAAGAATGCGAACAGTCATCAGCCAATGCGTTGTACCTTGACAAACAACCCGTGTCAAGATCAATGAAGAAGGGGGTCACGCTCAGATGTGAAGATTCCTCGACTTGAGTGCCACTTTGCCAATCGTTCAGAGAGTCGGTATGCCCCATGACAAAGCATGCCCGCCAGGAACCCGACAGCATCGTTCCGGAAGGCCAGGATTCCGGCAGTTGTCATGAGCATGACGGTCCATCTCTCGGTGCGCTCCTCGTCTGAAAGGTCACGATGTCGGCGAACATCTTGTCGCGCAGCGGTCTGCCACAAATCGGAAGCTCCTTGGTTGAGGCTCTGGCCGACCTTGGCCAGTTCGAGGCCGGCCGCAATGACCATGATGCCGAGAAGGCTCTTGGGATAGTGCCGCAAGAGGTCAACCAGAGTTTCACCAAAAACAAGGCCCATGATCAACTTGAAAAGGCCGAGGATGATGATACTGGCGCCACTGCGAGCCCCAAATCGGTACTGCGCGGCCAAGCCCCCAGCACCGTGACAGACAGGCATGCCTCCGAACCAGGTGCTTGTGAGATTCATCAAGGCCACACTGATTCCGATAGAACCCACCGAGGGTGTAGGGATATCGGGTAGAAGATCCTGAGATAGTGCGCTGACAGCGATGATAGAGTTGAGCGTCGTCAGGGGTAGCTGGCCGATGGCCATCCACAACGCAGGTGAATCATCTTTCCCAACCCATCGAGGCATGACAAACTGAGGATGCCAGACGTGGAACCACGGCAGACTCTGTTGAGACATGAGAACCTGAACAAAGGCCAACAGCAGCGCAATAACGAAGAACAGCAACGCATAGGGGAAGCGAGATAGCTTCTGGGTACCGATGAGAGCAAGGAAAGCAACCAAGGCCCAGATGCGGTTATCAAGAGCCGGATGAACCCAGTGAAGGGGTTGGAGCAGCGACGAACCAGCGCCGAGAATCAACGAGAGACCAGCTCCCAGCTGAATACCCTTGACCACAGGGATAGGAACGACACGCACAACCCATCGCAAGAGGCCGGTGACGCTCATGATGAAGACGGCTGCGCCAACCCACTGTCCGGCAGCAGTTACTACGCTCATAGCAGAGCCATTCGAGATGGCTGCCGAGGCAATAGCCTAGAAAGAGAACAGTATAAGTCAGCCTGTTTAATCTAAGAGTCCGGGTAATCCGGGAGAGTTGCTGGTAGGCTATAAATAATACTGACCTTCATCGGCTGAACTGGGAGAGGGATGCCATAGAAGACACCGGTGAGGATGTTAAACAACCCCGAAAATACTAGGGTGGTGCCGAGATGAATGGACCCTTGGGCGGCGAGGGCGATCATGAGCGGCAGCAGAGTGCCCAGATCGCCAAGAGACCCTGAGATCTCGGCCCATGGCGCCGCGCGAACAGTTGCGAGGTTGTTGCGGTTCAGACGGCGCAAGTCACTGAGCCATGAAGGCGCCATGGCTTGGAAGGGGGCAAAGGCTGCGAGCAGCTTGCTAGGATGTGTTGATTATTGAAGACGTCAAGTATGTGAGAGGCCCAGCACGGGAGAAGCCTAGACTCTCACAACCTGTATAACCGCTGCAGCCACCAACGGCGACGGTGTTATCCCTGTCGATCCGCCCGACGTTGCGTACGCTGTTGGCGCTCAACTCAGAGGCAAGAACAGTATCAGCAAGGGCATCGAGTTCCGGAACCTCGGCAGAAGTGCGCGGTTTTGGGCGCAGACAGAAAGGGTAAGGTTGGCGGCCTTGGAGGAGAGAAGAGGCGTTACGTTGGGTGGGAACTCCAACGAGAAGGCCTGTATGACAAATGACGCGACTCAAGCAGGTGCATCCGCTGGGAACGTCGGTGACGATGCCTACAGAAGCAACAAGTTCGCCGCGGCTACTACTGTATCATGAAGCGGAATTCGAGATGCAAGAAAAAGCCGCAATGCACGGTGCTATGTGTCCGTCCCAACCAGGGCCACGGGATCGTTCCTTGATTCGCTTCAAGCCCATGTCTCGTCTGTCCTGTGCATTCACGTGTATAAGTCGAGCATATATCCGCCCAGGGTTCAAGGTCATCCGCCAGCCTCATCCGGGCTGCTGGCTGACAGGCGAAAATGCCTCTTGGCACAAGGTTGAAAGACGGTGACTGCAGATTTCACTGTCCCAAGCCAAGTACCGCCTAGAAAACCAAGAGGCACGTTCGCCGATTCAGGCTTGTCGCCAAGGGCCAAGCCAAACCCCAAGAAACAACTGGATCTTTGATCAGCTGCAGCTCGCTGGCAAACAACATCCAGGCAGCGGAGAAGCCATGCAGGACCTGGAGATCCATGGATACGTGGGGCGCCCGGCTTGAGTGACTTGGGCCGGTTATTGGACTCGTGACATTCATGCTTCCATTCAGAGTTATTGGAACCCGCGTCAATGGGGAAACCGCTCGAGATCCGTCTGGAGGGGACGGGAGACGGTATGCTGCGCATGCACACATCCAGCAGCAACGTGGAGGTGTCTTTGGGCCGCTTCGAGGCGTGAGGTCTTACAGAGAGAGCTTGACCTCATTGGCGACGGCCGATACCACTAACCACGTACCCCATACTTTCGCGGCTTCGGTCCTGTCTTGGCCCTATCCCGGGCTTTGGTGACACTGGCTGGGATCGGTTCTGGAAGCCAATGGCGGCGGGATGGGATCCCTAGGTACAGATTGTAGAGCGGTTGACGCCTGATAATCCGAGGTCCTTGTCGAAGCGCGTGTCTTTCCTTGGGTCAGCCACAAAGCAAGCAAGCAAGCATCCAGCCGCGGCGCCGGCCGCCGGAGAGTGCAGTTTGACTTGTTACGGTGTTTCGACTTGACGTCTGCACCCGTACAGTACAGTTCTTATCGCATACATCATGAGCAAGCGAGGAAAAGTTACGCCCAGGATCTCTCCCGTCGCAATAGCCGGCGCATGTTCCCTCCATGGTCCAGACACACGACACCTAACCCAGAATGCCATCTCGTAAAAGATGAGACTCTGTATGTCTCTCATTCTCCTCGGGCAAGGCTATGAGGTCATCGGCGGCGGTTGTCGCGGAGGAGGCTGGTAGCCGGGGCCCAGCGCCGGTGGCAGAGAGGCGTGAGCGACGGTAGCGAGGCGGGCGCCTCCCGGGGACAAGTCGGCATCTGGGGTGAGAAAACCCTTGCAGGCGTCGTCGTTTATCCCTCGTCTCCCGGGACTTCCAGGCGGGATTTGCACGAAGGATGGATGGCCCGGGCAGGGCTCCTGGCTTGTTCCAGCTGCTGGCCCCCGGTCCAGACTTTGGACCGCGATGACACCGGGGGCGGGCATGGCCTGCAAGTAACAGCCGCCGAACAGCGAGCGAGTCCGTCGGATGAACTCTGTGTGGGTGATCCCATTCGGGGACCTGCACTGATGTGGTCTTGATATTTATGCTGAGCACTGTACACTACTTGATAGTGTTCAAGTGGAGGAGAGGAGACTTGTGGATGAGCCAATGCAGGTGCATTCAGTGGTCAGCCACGGGTGTCGTCCTCTCCACTTGTGAAGCCTTCTGCGCGCATCATGTCCCCAGTTCCAGTCCCAGGGCCAGCAGCGAGATAGTGAGTGACAGACAAGATCCATGTCATACCATGGGAGCCCCCATGCCATGCACAACGCAAGTGTCAAGATGAGGCCTTTGTCCGGATCATGACGACACAGTCGCCCTCGGCCCTCGCTTGTTTGACTCGCGAAATCGCAAAAGCCCATCCTCGTCCGGAAGAGCTACTGTATCAAACAGGAGTGAGTCTCTTTTCTGCTCGGTTGCCTCGGGCAGGCCGGAGCGGGCAATTGGCCATTGATAGACAGAAATTAGTCCCGCAGCGCAGATGCAACCTCCGGAAACAGAGGATGCGCGCTTCTTCCCGGCACTGGGGCTTGCTTTGGTGCCGGCCTCTGGCGTTGGTGTGTGTGTGTCTTGTCTGTTGATGCTGGTGTCAGGTCCTTCTAGCCTGCACAGTGTCGTGTGTGACTGTGGAGAAGCCGGTGGGGACGTGGCTTTTGAGATGGGGCTCGCCCGAGGAACTTGGAGAGAGGCCGTCGCTCTCTGATACAGCTCAGATGGCTTTGATGCGATGCTTTCCAGTGATGAAACTGCTGAAGGAGCAGGGTTTTTCGGGAGTACGAGTCCATTGACAATCCATTGAGCTTAGCAGAGGAAAGTAATGTGCCGAGGAACGGGGTAGGCCGTCAATTGGCTCATCAATGGACAATGCCAGTCGAGATCCAGTCTCATCTCCCATCACGAATGTAATCAAACAACAAAAACAACAACAATAACTACTGCAATGGAGCTGGAGCTGGAGCAGAAGACGTGGGATAGGTGAGGCTAGAACCCTCGATCCAGTTCTGGAGAAACGGCACGAGAATGGAGTCGCCTTCATCTTGGACCCCTTTCGCAATCTCTCTCGCATCGTTCTAGCGACGGGTTATCATGACCGACAGGAGGACAGGACCGCTCTCTATCGTCAAATGGATTTTGATGACCAGAAATTCGCGCAGCTCATCTTGTCGCAGGGCAGGCAGACCAGAGGCCCTCGCTGAGATTGCACTGTACCGGCACTGTACTTGATGCAGAGCTTCTGCACGCTGCATGGACTGCACTGCACGCATGCATTTCATGGCCCTCGTGGGCCGTGGGACCACGAGTGGGATGGAGCTTGAAATCGGCAAGGCTTCCCCACATGGGTCATCTCACCGCACCGCCCTTGACTGCCGTGTTCCGAGTTGCACCAGAGATGGCTCCTCTGCTTCCTGTCCTGTCCTGTCTCTTTTTTTTTTCTCTCACGTCGGATATTGATGGCTGGGCAGGCCGCTCTGCTTGCCTTGCTACCCAGGGTCTAGCGCCAGTACGGGACCTGAGCGTATCGAAGCTAGTACCAGGGACTGGGGGTCGCACCGCTGTACAAGCGGCCCGTTCGTGGAGGTAGTAATTGGCGAAACGCTGGCCTCGTCTGGATGCTGGAAGCGGTATGGGCCTGCAGACTCGAGGTAGCTGGTGACATGGGAGCTACCTCCTGTCGAGGTATGCGGATGGGTTTCGCCATCATCAAGAGACGGGAGTCCCTAACGACGGGGGGAGTGAGCGATTATTACAGTGCACTGGCTGATCGGGGCTCGACCTCTCTGCTTTCCAGGACCTCCAATTCGTTCGTTGGAGGTTGGCAGGCATAATTCTCGCGAATCTCGGGTGCCTCTCGGCGTCGCCTCATGAATGGATGGATGGATGGTTTGGTTGTTGGGAGGTATTGTCGTCCATCATCCTCGGTCAATCCATTGTTGTTGTTTGGTTTGGTCTGGCCCGGGCTGAGTGGAATATGCCTCGTCAAAATTGCTGATACTGTTACTTTTGGGCGGAGCTTTCCTCCAGCCTTTTCCTTTTCTCTCGACTCGCCTTGCACTCTCTTCGAACCCGTCTTAACCGACCCATTGAGTCCTGACTCTTGTTTAAAAACCTCCCTTTAGAGACTCAGGCACGCCAAGCAGATTCCAATTGACCATCCATCCCAAGTGACAACCAGCGTGTTTTTGTTTTGCAGGTTCGCAGACCCAGCGCCCATCTTGTGAGTCCCACTTGCTAGCTTCTACCGTCACTCCCCCCGTCCCATCCGTGCCATATGGAGATCCGCTACGCAGCTGGAACATCATCATCACCCAGAAATCCACTCATCCCAGGGCCATTTTTCCGCGTCAGGTTCGCCGCACAGTGCGTGCCGTGAAAAGAGCGCACCACAATCCCCAAATGCCTGTTTATCCCGCCACCCTCTGCCTACCTCCCTGGACGCTCACGCCCCTCCCCTACCACTAACACTAACAGCGAGAAGAGAGACGGACGGGACCCTGGCTCTGGCTCTGCTCGGCGTTGCCTTGCAAGCTTTTTGTTCTGCTTGACTTGCCTCGCCCTTAGCCAGTCCTATCCTGTACTTTCTCGTCCAGTCGAATCCACTCTGTTTGGCCCAAGCTTTTTTTTGGGGCGTGACGCTGTCGTCTCCACTTTTTGCGACCTTTGGTGTCTCTTGGTGCCGAGAGCTGATCAACAAAACCACAGCAAAGCCCGCCTTCGCGACCAGAATCACTTGCTGCTTCTTCATCACCCTCCAAGCTTCAAAAGGTATGCCACACATATTGTCCTTTTGCTGCCGTTGCTGCGCGTTTTCCTGCCCCCGACTCAAGTCCATTGTTCGATCCGACCATCACCAATTCCAAGTCAAGACCAAGTCCATGACCAACCATCATCTGCCCTCCATGTCGCCCGACGCCGCCGCCGCCTCTGTGCTCTCAAGATCCCGGCTCCTCTGCCGGCCTCTGCGCCTGGGATGATGGCTGTCAATGACGGTTGCCAAGCAAATGCGCCGATACGGTTTTGCTCGCCTTCAACTCGCTCGCTCGTGGCTCAATTGATGGACGGCTTGGTCATGATTTTGGAATTGGTCTGGATTAGATGGTCAATGGTCTCGGCTCAGGGCATCTGGAAACCTCAGCATCATCGTTTTATCACTCAGTCTGGACCAAAACATGACAACTAACATTGATTAGCAATCTCCACTCTCGACACAATGGCCGCCATCAAGTCTCTCATCACCCGCGACGAGGTCGTCAACCAGCTCGTCAAGCGCGAGAAGAACTGGGCTGCCCGGGAGCCTGGTGTCATGGTCGTCTTCTGCATTGTCGGCGTCGGTATGTTTTGACTCTGTCAATCTAGCAAGAGCGCAAATCCTAACTATCATAGTCGCCATCGGTCTCATTGGCCTCTTCATCCACAAGAAGCTGGCTGCCCGCAAGGCCAACAAGGCCGTTGTGGTTTAGACGACGTCAAGATGCCAGGGGTCGAGGGGAGAGGAGGGTGGCCCGAGGCGTAGTCATGAGCGTCTTTTGGATTATATGCCTCGGGGTCCCTCAAGTGGTGTTACGACAAGGTGCCTTTCTGCGACACGCCGGGTGACCGACTGTGACCCCGTATCCCAGTCAAATATCGGTTAACGTCCCCCATCAATTCCTCGCTCGCCGCCCTGGTCGGCCCGGTCGCTACCTAACGCTATCGGCCGACGAGAGCGGTGTGCGACACTCTGTACATACCCTCATACCACCGGATCGAGTGGGACAAATGTGCTGGAGGACGGGTTCTTGTCGAGTGTTCGCGGCAAGGTGGCTGTATTCTATATTCTAATGCTACTGATACCTACCTGTTTGAAGCAATGCAATTGATTGTTTCTCCTTACCGATGATGACTGTGTTGAAGCAGGGGTGATGATGAATGAGTTGACAGTATCGCGAGTCTTCGGCCCGAACCGAGTTAATAGTGAATCGATCACGACACAATCGTTTTCGCAAATGGACATCACTCTAGGCAACGCTTCTTCTCGCCTGCTTGACAGATCGATCAACAAAGAACGCAACCATGATAACAGCCTTGCTCATCTCAAATTCTACAAAGACACCCTTCATTCTCAACACTCAACAATGTGCTCGCATCAGCCTGCATACTCCCCTTTAAGCTTCATCGCGTCTATGGGGCGTCTACAGTGCAGAACATTGATCTGGGGTGCATGTTCCGGCTGCAAACCCGCCTGTATCTTACAAAAGGTCTATCTGTCTAAGCACTCATGCATACAAATACAAGTACACACCCTACTTTCAATCGCAGAGTAGTAAAGATATCAGTATCCTTCCTTTGCCAACATATCGGCAATATCCAGATAAAACGCAATCGCGTTAAAGGTTCGTCTTATGCCCATCCACTCGCGCACCGTCCATCCCACCCGGTTCGACCAGTTAATGAGATCCAAGTGGCTCACGCCGAGGAGAGTCCCTTTGTATGTGCCCCAGTGACTACTCTCGACGCTGACGAGCCCGTCGTTAGGTCCCTCGGCCTTGGTCATCACGGCATGTGGGTGCCGGAACGGGCTCAGCAGCGCCGGTCGCTCGACGGCTGCTCCGTATGAGAAGTAGTGTACGTCGGGGTTGTCAGGGGTGCTCGGGTTGAACTCGTCGGCCATGTATCGCCTTGTTAGTTGCGCAAAGGCCGCAGTGCCTAGGCCCGCCCGTTCGAGCATCCAGTATAGCCGGGTGAGGTGTAATGGCGAGACTTGCTCGTCGAGGAGATAGTCGGCAAAGGCACTCCCACGATGGGGCGTAGCGACGGTTACGAGGGCGGCGACTCGGACTGGAAGGGGCTTGAGGTGCGCAAGCATGTATCGAGCGTCGAGGCCGCCCATGCTATGTGCGATGATGGTGACGGCCTCAGGGGCAGGCGCATGGGCTTCGAGGGCAGAGCGAAGAGCGGCGGCGCGGTCGGCGATGGAGGAGGATGGAGGCACGGTGGGTGTCAGGACTGTCGCCCCCTGCGCGGTGAGGGCATCTCGTATGCCATGCCAGTACTCGACGGCTGGGAGGTAGGATGCGAGGCGAAGCTCGGCAAAGCCGAAGAGGCCATGAGCAAGGACGATGGGGTATTTTGGAGTCTCTACAAAATATTAGCACAAGTCTTGACGGATCTTCAGCCTCTTTCAGCTCTTCTAGGAGAATATAAACATACTGTACTTTTCTCGGATCGTGGCATAGTCATCCGATATCTCCCTTCCCAAAGCTTTTATCCGAGGGTCCTCAGAACGCCGCAGATACCGGCCAGACGAGAAGCCTCGGCTAACAATTGGAAGCCATTGTATGCTTGATGATGGTCTTGGCGATGCCAAAATAAGCGCCCTGCGCAAGAGTGCTGATCTGCTCATGGATCTGGAGTCGCATGAGCTTGGGGATATAATCGTCTGCAAAGTGCCCTCGGACGGCCCGGCGTTGGGGGCAGGTGGAGGTGACGTCACGGATGGAATTTTTGCGCTGGTGATTTTACTGGTCGAGAAGCTTTGGAGTTGGTCTTGACTCAAGGGACTCGATCACTGGCTTGAAAGTATGGACTACAAACTGCTGTCTCAGTAACACTTGGACTAAAGACTACGAGAATTTGTACCTAGCTGGTCAAGAAAGGCGGATAAAAACCTTTGTCATGATCAGTAGTCGTGTGTCCTCACTGGCATATTAGATGTTCGGCTCGCCCTCACCCTACACGCATTGTAGACTCAGAGCCAACAAGCTATTTGACTGACTGATTTTCAGTTTACGGGAACGATTTGAACGTATCAGGTCATCGATTTAATTTTATCGTGGTCTTCGTCTCATGTTTTTAAGAAACACATGTTGCCCGTTATATGATTCTACTTTGTTGGCGTGACCCTACGTTTGAACCTCTAAGGGTGAACACTCAGCTTAAGGGATGTCAACTTACCCCAATCAAAGCCCCCCGAGGTTTTGTTAGTATTCAAATAGACCCAGCCTTCCCAATAATCGATTGACGCTGGATCGTTTCTTTTAGTGCGGGGCTCTTTAAACGCCTGCGTGATACTAGGTCGCTGCTCTGAAGTCAGAGAACACTGGATGGTTGAAGATTGTCAGAGCAACATGCTAGTTTATGTAGAAATAGGTTAAACATGGCATCCTTGTTACGCCTTTATTTGTCTGCTACGAGATGGCTGGGTGGAAAGACAAGACCATACTTGCAAAAGACATAGTTATGGACCTGTTGTTTAGAGCCTCAGGGCGGCTTTTCGATAGGACTGAGACTAACTCGGCTAGAATCAGTACCAAGACTACATCGTACGTGTAAAACGCAAGTATCTCTCTCATCGGTACAGCATCTTACATACGTGTTCGACTTCCTTGAACGTCATCATGTCTTAGGGTAGCACAGCGCCTTGAAAGTGGGGTGTTGGGCCTCGGATTATCGATGAATAACCCATTTGGATGATTCCTTTCTGCATCCTCTTATATCTCATCTTGGGTATGTAGGGTGGAATGGGGGGAAGTTCATATGATAGAGGCAAGCGACCAACTCGGGCAGTTAATGCTTAGGTCTACGTGGGAGCTAGGTTAGCAAACTGTCAATTTGCATCGTTGATGTTTAGATTGGACAACAAGTCTTGACGTATGAATCCCTCATGCGAGTATGTTATTAATCCCTCTTAACAAAGTTCGTCTCCGAAACTCCTGACCGATCATGGGCAAAGCGCATGCTACTGGGTATGATCCAACGGGCATCTAACTGCATTACTCTCCCAACTCCCTACCCTCCCATCCCATCCTATCCCATCCATCCACAACGCCCGCCGTCGTCATTACAGTTGAGTGCATTAAAATTTAAACATTCAAGCCGTGCTTTGCAACGATTTAGTTCTTTTCAGGGGGCATCTGGCTCGGTGCGTTTTCGTTGGTGACGCCACTGTAAGCCGGCCGTGATTGCATTCCATCAAAGGGACCCGATAGGTTCTCTGCCATGGCCTCATCGTAGCTAGGCGGTGCATCGTCATATGGTGGTGCGTCCTGACCTGGTGCCAGCTGCGGCGGGTATAGCGGATCATGAGCTGGTTGAGGAGGTACTTGATGAGTAGCCTGAGCTGGTCGATGTTGCTGTTGTTGAGGTGGCGCCATCGAGGCACTCGCTGTGTTTGTACGGGGCGGCAGACGAGGAGGTAGGCCATTGGCGGGTGCATTCCCAGTAAAGGTCGCTCGTCCCGGCCGGCCAGACCTCGCCGCCTCGACGAGTTCGGGTGGTGGAGTGATACCGGAAAAGACCTCTAGCTGAGCAAAGTGCAGTGGTAGATGGATGACCTGAGGGTTCTTGGATGGGTCTCTGGATGCAATACCCTTTTTGGGTTTACCCCAAGACAACCCAAGCTTGACCTCGAGCTCATATCTTCGGGAGAGGTTGCAGGTGACAAAGGATGGTGCGACGGTGTTGGGAAGAGGCATATTCTTCCACACATCGTCGGGAATCACTAGCTCCTTTCCAAGCTCATCCTCTGGCGAGAAAGTCAAGGGGATGTTGAGGTTAGAGTTGGCGGCGACCACCCATCGGTTGAGTTTCTGATTGTGAAGCTCTAGAGCCCGAACATCTGTACGGCCAATCAGATCCATCTGGAACGAGACCAGGAAGACCTGATCCGGGTTGTTGTTCAACCTCTTTGCAATAAGTCTTAGCGGAATGGGCTTGTTGCAAGTCAGTATACTGGGGTGGGGCAGACGGGCGGAAATCTCGATAGCCGGAGCCGGGGCGGTTTCGGGGGACGGCTCCGGGGTGGAGGCAGACTTGGAGTCTTCACTACCCTTGAAGCTGAAGAGTGTACTGCGCTTCTTGTCCGGCACTGGGGACCTTGGCCGGAACGTAAACGGCCTGCGAGCAAAGGCTTCCTGGGCCGTGTGCTTGGGCCGCGGTGGCTCGATTGGAAGAAACTTGAGACCAATCTGATAGCGCCAGTTCTCTTTGAGCAGTCCTGGACGCTGGATCGTGACCTTGATGTAGTAACGGATCTCAGCCTCCATGGGGTAGCCAGTCAGTGAGGGTGGCAGCGTGCGGGTGACATGACGAAGATAGAGTTGCTTGCTTCCGTCCATGACTCTCACACCTCCAATACCAAAAAGGCCACCACCTCCAAAGCCGCCTACATTTGCCATGCCACCAATCTTTGACATGGCCTCAGGGTCGCTGCAGGCATTGTTGATGGGAAGCTTGAAATTGAACGGGAACTCATGCTCGCCGGCTTGGAGTGGGTATGAACCATATGGACTCGAAGAGCTGGCGTAGTAGTCATCTGGAAAGACCTGTTGGAGCTTGTAGAGGATCTTGTGGTTCTCAGTTGCAAGGCTACCAGGGGGACGCTGGGGGGCTCCTGGTGGCCTAGGAGCGTAATCCGCGTCAAAGGCGTTGGGAGCTTGTAGAGCCGTACCCGACTCGCCTTCAAGCTTGACAACGATGCTACCGATTTGTTCTGCGCGGTTGAGACCCAAGATGATGCGGCCGCGGATGAAGTCAAGATTGGTGTAGAACTCAGGCTGCTGGTCCAAAGCTATGCGGATGGACATGATGGACAAATAGCAGCTCCGAGCAGGACACGAAACAGAGGCTGATGTGCGACGTGAGGTGATGGAGGAATGAGACGATTTGGGCCTAATGGCCCAATGAGGTGTGATAGCAAATGGGGTGGGCGGAGAGTGATGTGCCCTTTGATGACCAAAAAGGGCGGTTGTATGTGTAGTATGCAGCAATTCAGACCTGGATTATCCTTCTGAAAGGTGCCAGGAGATGGCAATTTCTCATGGATACCGATGTTTGCATGAGAAGTGGTTCATAAAGCGTTGGTCTGGGGAAGCTTCGGATGGAGCTTCGTCACCGATGCTCAGCCTCCAAGCCAAGCCCCCCATGTGGCGGGCAGCACCTTAGAATGGAGTGGCTCAAGCATTATGTCATGTGGCTAAGCTACTCGTGGCTCGTGGCTCGTGGCTCGTCTCGTGGCTCGTCTCGTGGCTCGCCTTTCTTCTGGTTTTCGCGGCAGCCGGAGCCACTTGTAACCGACAAGATTGCCGCGCCAAACTGCCAGGCTATGGGAGGTCCTTTTAAGCAACCGCTCCATTCACCCTCAGTCTTTCAACATGGCAAAAGTCCCTCCAGGCAGGGATGGTTCTCCTCAGCGGGACTTGTTCCTTGACCGGAATTCACGCGACCAACTCTTGATAAAATATCCCCTCCGGCTGTGCCGCGATGACTCCCAACCAAGCCCAAAGGTTCCTGTGGAGAAGTCTCTAGGACTCCCCGGAAGAGGTCTCAGACATGCGGCCTTCACCAGCGGGTCTCGAGGTGCCAGGTGCCGCGTGCCGCGTTGTCACCGCGAACGTTGCAGATGCAGACTCGAGTTGTTGGTGACAGCCAGTTCATGATGGGCACCTGCTCGATCCAGCAGTCAAACAGGTCTTCGCCTCCACTTCCCGGCCGATGGGAGATCAACCAACAGCATTGAGTGGAAATGCCATCACATTCCATGGACTGGATGGCTTCATCATGTCGGCAGAGTGGATACAGGCCACACGCCTGAGCCAACAAACACGACCACACCATATCGGCACTAAGTGTCTGTCAGGGCACCAGGGCCGAGATCGACAGCTCCCGGGCCCGCCTCCGAGCCGTTTCGTCGCCCACTTTGCACTGCACGTCGAACCAACTGCATATCAAGGGTCCCCCAGGACCCCAGGACCAGCCCCCAAATTGTCCACTTTGAGTCGATCGAAATGCTCCGAGGTCAACTAAACCTCCTTTCAAGCAGTAGCCCTGTTCCCGAAGCACTCTCATGCATAGTACGAGCCCAGTCCCAGGCCTACTGCGCGCTTCCGCACCAACACGCGAATCTTAAATCATGCCATGATCCATCTGTCACAGCCGGAACATGCTTGCAAACAAAACTCCCGACGACCAGTCGCAGTCGCCTTTTTCGCCCCCAGCTCGCGGAATGGAACGATGCGGCCCGCTTGCCGCCAAAGATGGATGCCTCCTCTGGCGCTCGTCCACCAACCAGAGTGATATCTCACCGACTTCGTGGCCCTGCATCCCTCTCCGCGCGGTGCAGGCTGCCGCTGTTCCCCGCTTGATCTGGCTGTGATTGGCAGGCTTGGCCCCCAACTCAGCCAACACCTTGTCCAGAGATTGTGTCCTGCAGGCAAGAGATTGACCTTCCGCCCTCGTAAATTCGATCCTGGCTTGGCCCAGGATATACTCTCCCACTGCCATGTTTTCAGTCGCAAAAGGTTCTGCAGTTGGCATGGCCATGTCAAGTCGTCACATACATGCTGCTTGCACAACGCTCTTGTTCTCGGAGACACTCTTCGCCCCGGTGACATACAAGGGTATCGGGTCAAATCGTCAGCTCGTCCTTGGTGGCTCACTTCGAATTCCCGCGCATTGCCTACTCAGCCGATGACTGGTTGCCATGGCGAGGTACTTGCACTTTGCACGATACGTGCACCCTTGTGCTCTTCCATGTCGATCGTGCCCAAAGCTGGTTGGCTCTCTCCGCCCATCGGGCTTTACGTCTTGCAAGTTCCCGCTCTCAGCCCTACACTTCATTGGCCACTGAGAAGGGCATCTCTGGAAGGCGTCCAACTGCCTCCATGGGTCACGGTCCGGATTGTTGCACTGCAGCATGGCCCCTCCAATTGTGATCATTCTTCTACAGCGCCCCGTAGCTGCAGAGCCTCACATGCATGTCTCTGCTCAGACCGGCAGGTAACTGTGATGGCCTGGCCATAGCCATGCTTACCTGGTCTGGCACCCCGTAGGCAGTTTGTGTATATGTAGTGGGCCAAGCCTCTTGTGTCTTGCTCTGGATCTTTCTCCCTTTGCCTCGGTTGCCAAGCCTGTCATGATAACTTGCCAACCATCGCTGGTCGACAATCGACGATGGCAGGAGACTGTGGTTCAACCTGTCCAGCCTTTGGTGGCTTCTACGCATACAATCCAAGCGTAGGCGGCAATGCCGTCCTACTGGTCGCCTTTTGCCTTCTCGCTCTGGCGGCCCCCTATCTCGGCTTTCGATCGCGGACATATCTATTCTCTGCGGTGCTCACAACCGGACTCTTTTTCGAAGTGTTGGGATTCATCGGCCGGCTCCTGCTACACTCGAACCGAGACCACCAAGGTCACTTCTTCCTGTTCTTGTTTGGGACAGTTCTCGGCCCATCATTTCTCAGCCTCGCCATCTTTATCATCCTCCCTCATATCCTCGGCATCTATGGGGAGCCCATCTGCCCGTTCAGGCCACTCCTGGCTGGTTTCGTCTTTTGGGGACTCAGCGCTGGCAGTATGCTATTGCAGCTAATTGGCATCATCTTTACAGCATACGAGTCCAGCGGAGTTACTGTATGTACTCCTGAGCATGGCGGTAATAAGGCTGTGATAAGCTGACATTGAAGTAGCGAAAGCAAGGCGCAATCGTCACAGCCGCAGGCTTGGCCATCCAAGCCGCCGCACTGGTGGCATGCACTGGGCTGCATTTCTGGTTCACCCTGGGCCTCAGTACCAAGCGAGGAAGCCTTGATGCCAGACACGTCCAGATCTACTCGTCTTCCCATTTCAAGAAGTTCCTCATGGGTAATTGGCCCTGCTCTGTAACGACTGTGACACTCGCTAACTATAGGGCTTAGCAATGGAAGTAGCGTCGACTCTCCTTATCGTCTACTCGATCTATCGCCTCGTCGAGTTTGCGGATGAAGTTTCCGGGAGCCTCTTCCAGAATGAGTCTGCCTTTATGGTACTTGGAGGAGTGTTGCCATTCTTTGCTGGCGGCCTCTTGACCTCGTTCCACCCCGGGACTGCGTTCCTTGGTGCCTGGGACTCGACATCACCCCGAGGAACTAAGCGTCACAGACGGCCAGATCCGATCCAGTCTCCGACTCCAAGCGGTCATCCCGTTCATCATCTATACGAACCCGATATTCGAAAGCAGCTCTCTCCCACTTCTTCGAAACTCGCGAGAGATTCGGTGGGCTCTCCTGAGTTGCCACCAGGCTCCCTCGGCCTCCCTTCACATCCCAAGGCTGCTTTGAGCCCACAGATCCCAAGGGATGATGCGACACCACGCAAGGGGCCGCCTGAACCGTTGAACCTTACCAACCTTGCTTCGCGACAAAGCTATCGACAACAAGATTCTGGAGGTCGAGTGGCGAAGAATATGGTGCACAGTGAAGAGCTGTGGTAATGATCCAGGGCGGCAACGGATCAGATGGACATGGATACGGTTTAGGAGCATCCGCGATGCTTTGGACGGGCTTGCGAACTGCCGCTGGCTGGCTGGCTCACGTTTCGCATACAGTGGAATCACATTGACTGGGATGCTTCACTGTTGGTCGAATGGAGTACTATGTACGGGGCTTGGAGGGTACTGGATACCGTACAATTTTAAGGCTTGACTGTGGATACCAGGTAGTGCTTTGAGTGTGTGGTCCTTATAGATAGGATTGGATTGTGTGTTGGAGGCATTGATTCAGCGAGCGATTGATATCAGGGGTAGATATTTGGCGCATATTTTACCCACAAGATGGCTAGTTTACAGGGACTTTAGGAACTCTATTTACTTTGAAAGCTTTTCTCCTCTCTAACATTATAATTCTAGTCTTGTAAATACTGATGGAAGTTTTCGAGGGAGCTGAGGGAGGCATTGTCCATGGTCACACGCTTGGTGTTGGCAATTAATGAGATAGAAACAAGCGTCCCTTTTCCTGAGGATGGTAATGCCCGAGTTTCGTATCAGGAAGTACTAGGATCCAATAAAACCTCGTATGTTTGTGAGGCGCAGCGATACATGATTTGACAAAGAGAGAGGTTACCATCATGGATGTCTCATCCCAACCAAAAAGAGCTGTGATTAATCACTTGCAGCTCCCCCCCTCCCCCAACACAGCTCCACAACAAGACGTTACATCCGAGATTGCCACACTGTGATCAAGGTGAAACAAGCAGCACCAACAACTCTTCAGTCGAGAGAATGACTGGTTCGTTGGCTGTTGGCACATGAGAGGAAAAAAACCGCTCTTGAGTCATCTCCTCGGCACTGGCGGTGAATTGATTATCGAAGCACCATGTGATTAACTCGAGGGATTGATCAGACCATGGAGGTAGAGGTTTATCATGCAAAATCTGTCGGAGTCGAGCGTTGCTGGCGGTTAAGTATGTACTTATGATGGTTCTTGACCGGCAGAGTAAATAGGATTGGAGCCTAGCCTGTAGTTTAAACAGTAGAAATTCTTGAAGCGTACTCACCGTCGGAGGGAGCGGATGTTCTCTGCTTCTCCTTGCAGCTCCATTGGCTTGCACCAACAACGGCCTCGGGGCCTCGGGCATAATCATGGTCAAGCTTGTTGGGCCACGGCAATTGATTCTCCATAAGAGCCTGTTCTAGCTCATCACAGACACACCTGATGACTATTCCACAAAAGCCGAGTTGAGCATTCCAGTCATGGAAGCAGGGCGGTTACAGACACTTCTAGACGCTTGGCGATGAGAGGCACATGACCTCGTTCCCCAAATCTCAACCGTCGTGGGCTCTCCAACAACTTGGAAATCAAAAAAGCCAACGGCGTCAGGAGAGAGAGAGAGAGAGAGAGAGAGAGAGAGGCAGGGTCTCGTCCTTTGCGCCCGTCACGCTCGAGCCCTCTCTAGCCAGGAACGGGAGTGTAGACCCGGCGCGCCGATCCGCAGGACAACCGAATCGGGTGTCCCGCTGCCGACGCCAACGAACGCCATCGTCTTTTGACACTGAGACAATTGTCATGGCGGCAAGCTGTGCCCTTGGTCAAACCACCATCTGGGGGGGGGGGGGGGGGGGGGGAGAAGCTGAGCTTTGATAGGTTTGTCTTTTTTGTTGAAGAGACGAAACAAACTCTGGCTGTGAAACAAGAGGGGAAAGCCTCCATGATTGGGAAAACGGCCCGTTGATGATGTTTCTGAGCACAGCCCTTGTGTCGGAGCTGCTGTGATCTATTCCTGTGATGCGTCGTCTCGGGAGCCCAACTCCAAGATCTAGTTCCCGTAGCTCGGACTTGTGCGGCCTAGGGGTCTGTTTGGCGAGACTCTTCCATTATTACTATAGGCTTACTTGTGTGTCGCCGCGGCATGTAATTATTCCATTAGATTGTTTGTCACCCATTTTGTAGATTTCGAAGTAAAATCCCAAGTCAATTACGGCTTCAGCCTGGCACTTTTCTTTTCATGAGGCCTCGGGCTTGTCTCAGATATGACCTCCTCACAGTCATTAGCTGTCCCCGGCCACAGCCTTTCACCAAAGATGTCCTCGGTTACAAACCACACCTTGCCGAGTCCGGCGACCAAGAGGCCCCTTGAGGCGCGCCACAGCCCAACATCTCCATCCGTTCAGATCCTCCCCACGGGTGTCTGTTTCTGGGTCTCGGTGGCGCTGCTATCTCACCTTGGCTGAACTATATGTCTACCTTCCCCTGTATCCTCCACACGACGCTTGACCTAGGTCGTCTCTGAGCTTGAGCCGTGGCTTGAGATGCTCGTCCAAGTATGGCGTAGTCAATATAGATCCCCCATAATAGGCTTGAGTTCGCCCCCTTGGGCTCGAATTTCCCCAGCAAACGAGCAAGCTCGCCCTTGGACTCGGATTCATTACTCAATGTCTTGCCACTTGTTCTCGCGGTTATCAGATATCCTGTTTCGAAAACTCGGCCGAGACCGACGACTCCTGAGCCCGGCGAGCACCTGGGAGAACCCGCAGGCCATCTCCATCACGACGACAATCACTGTTACCAACGAGAAGAGATGGCGGTCGGACCAAGAGTCGAGCCGCAGGCGGAGGGGTCGCTTGGATACATCATGCTGAACCTCAATATTGCGCTCATCGTCATCACGTCGGTTATTATGACCTTGCGGTTGTATGTGAGGGGTGTCATGATACAGGCTCTTGGGTGGGATGATCTGTTGGCATTTATCGCCTGGGTGGGTTGGTGTTTAGTTGCTTCTGTTGCCCGATTTGGCTCTAATGAAGTGAATATAGGTCCTCGCAGTCACCCACTCTTCTCTAGAAATCGTCGCCGTTGGACATGGAGCTGGATCTCACATAAGTTCGCTCACTCCAGAGCAGCTGAATGCCATCTTCTCGGTATGTCTGAGCCAGACTGGGCTGAAAGCTCACTATTACTGACACGGATGACTTGATAGCTACTACCAATTAATTCACTAATATTCTTCTGGGCAATTGGATTTGTTCGACTGTCTATCCTGGCCTTCTTCCCTCGATTGAATAGAGAGCGTAAGGGTATCTCGATAGTTCTTCAAGAAGTGTATAGCTAACCTGATCTCAGTACGTTTCATGGTATGCGTCTGGATAACAGCCTTCGTCATCATAGCTATTTCTCTAGTCGGATTCTTCTTCTTCCTTTTGGAGTGTAACCCTATCATGTGAGTCTGGTATGTGTCGACTATCATTTTCAGCTCTAACTGTGCGTGTCAGAGATCTTTTCAACACCGGAAAACCGGATAGGAAATGCGTTAGCAGAGAAAAGGAGGCTCATGTTATGTGGTCACACTCTATCGTCGGCTCATGCCTCGACGTTGTGCTCCTTGCGCTTCCCCTCTGGGTGGTCTTTACCAATATGATGACTCGTCCCAAAATCATCAAGCTGACCCTAATCTTTTCCGTTGGCTTCTTCGCCGCCATCACTGCATTTATCAAGACTGGCATGATTCTTACGGCAAACTTTGCCTCGGATCCGTTTGTCTACCTTTAGTTTGCTCATGGAGGTTGTGCTAACACTAAGCTTGCAGAACCTACAACATGATCAGGGTATGTCCCTGGACGGCTCTAGAGATTCACGTTGGTATCTGGTGTGGGTGCTTCCCTGCTCTACAGCCTCTGCTTCGCCTCATGTCTACCAAGCTCAAGCTCCGAAGCCGCTTCGAGAGTCTCAAGTTCTCCCGTGGCAGCGGCTCCAACACTCTTGATGGCGACTGGCGCAACGACGCTAGCTTCGGTAATCCTCACTTTGGGAATTACAGCCAAGGAACGAGAGGAGTGGTATCTGATGCCGACTCGACGACGGGCATGGTGGAGCTTAGAGAGCCCAACAAGGGCATTAGGTTGACGACAGATGTGTTGGTGAAAGTTGAAGATAGGGGTTATACGAGGGATCGAGTCGAGATGAGAACAAGGGCATGGGATGCGGTTTGAAACAGCATTAGACATTTTAGCATATGGCGAGCGAGTTTTTGGGTTTTGGTGTACGGAGTTTCTTCTTGCTTTCTGTGTGCGTCGATATTGGCGATGCATCTCGATGTTCGGCGCCACGATACCCAGGAGCGTTACAGTTCCTTACTATGACCATAGATAAAGGTTATCTTTCTCAATTGCTTTTTTTTTTCTGGGCTCCGTCTTAATATTTGTGCCTCCAATATGGGTCAAATCACACAGAACTCTTCCCGAGATGAGCCATGGCTATGCCCAGGACAAAGAAGGGCTGAGTCCAGCTGAGCCTACATAAGCTAACCATGCCACGTTGTCGGCATTGCCGAGGGGCTATGACCTTCAGTAAACGACTAACCAGGCAGTGCGGTCTCGTAGACACCAAGTTTGCAAAGTCCAGCCGATCCGTGTCTTTATCTAACAGAACAAAGAATACAAGTCGAGGCACACTGGATTCAGAAAGCTGGGAATGGGATCATGCAATAACCTATTGTCGCCTCATTTGAAATGACGCTAAACTGGGTGTGACACACGGATCAATTCTGTTTTTGGGTGTTATCACTTGGTGAGCCAAGGGAGGCACAAACAAAGGATGTCAAGTCCAGCCGTGATCAGCTCACAGACCAACACCCTTTAGTTGGGAACTGCCTAAGTAAATTGCCACTACATTCAATCTAGGAGGCAGTCCGTATTACTGTCATGAGTGAGGGCATTCCTGGGTACTACGAAGGCATGATTACAGTTGATAGTATCCAAGGAGTAAACCCGCCAGCATGAGCATCTATTGGAAGTTATAGTAGTGTCCGCTGTGTGCAACCACAAGAAACCAGGCATGGGTGCTTCCATAAAGCGTTTTCGTCTATGGGGCTTGAGGGTCATTGAGCCCGATCTCTTTGAGAAGCAAGTGCTCTTTGTTGTTGATGACCCTTGACCCTTCCCAAGGTCCCATTCACCCACACAAATTTATAACCTCGAGCTCCCTCGTTATTGTTCTCTTTGAACAAACCCAGGACATCACTTTGACAACGAATCTCCATCTCAAACCACGAAACATTGCGAATTCACAATGAACGGCAACTGGCAACAACAGTCTGACGACGAGACTGAAGACTCGTTTCAACAGACCACTGACACTGACGGAGATCGGCTTGATCAGCAAATTGCGGATTACCACGAAAATCAGGAGAATCGCCAGAGGCATGACTCCGAGTGGTGGGGGACAAGGCACCCGTACCCAGAGAATGGAGATCCTGATCGAGAGTTTATCCATGCACGGAACCCTCCCATCTCAGGTGAGGAGGTTGATGATGCCGTTGCAGCATTCAACAGAGTTGCCACGAACCAAGGCACAGAGGAATTCAACACCCTTAACGTCTCCATGAGGCCTACTACCCCTCCCATGGAGCGGGCCAGGAAGCAGGTGGAGGGTCTAGTTGAGCAAGGCATCGAGGTCACTACGGCACTGAGAGATGAGATCTACGAGAAACACACTCGGGACAGCGGCCTCACCGCTGCTATGCAGGAGTACTGCAGGAACGGAAACGACGTCCCTCACGCCCACGCCAACGAGTTTCTCAAGATGCACGACCGGCTGAAAGCCCTTTTCGCCGAGAAGATGACCGAATCAAGCAAACAGATTCAGGAGCTGAGTGACAACTTTGACGATTACAAAAAGTCCAAAGAGGAGCGGGTTGAGATGCTTGAAGAGAAGCTCAGTGAGTCAGAGACTAAGCTGGCCGAAGCCAAAGACAAGCTGGAGTCTAAACAGAGTGAATTGGACAAGATTAAACAGCAAGGCGGCGAGGATTCGACACAGCAGACCAATGGGACCTCTCAGTCAGAGGAAAAGGTAGCTCGTCTCCTCAAGGAAAAGGCTCGGCTCCAATCCAAGATTGTCATGTACGAGGCTGGCAAAACACGTGAGGAGGTGGAGAGCGTTGCTGGAGGTAAGAAGAACCCGAAACTGTTTGGTTACTTTGCTAACTTGGATAATCTTTGCTTCAGATGAATTCAGGGTGGATGACGAGTACACGGCCGACCTGATCGCAGCCGAAGACCGTGCCAACACAGCAGACCGAGAACGCCAAGCCGGCAACCACTTTCACCAAGAGTTCTACGAGGCCATCAAGGAGAAAGCAGAGCGCTGGGAAGCCAAGGCTATCACCGCTGACAACAACTCGGATCAAGATGGGGCAATGTCGAATGACACAGTGGAACTGCTTCACGAGGTGGCTCGCGATTTGGATGAGATGGTTCTCGGGTTTCAGAGAGGCTGGCCACCGGCTCACGATGCATTCGACGTTGGTCAGATACAACAAGACAACGTCACCAAGGATGCCCTGGAAAGATCCGGCAAAGAGCTGAGAGAGAGTAAGTTAACAATCAGAAGCGAGGCCTTTCCAACGTGCCGCTAATGTAGACTCCAGAGCATGAAGAGAACAAACGACGGATGCAAGACCTAGAACAACAGGAAACTGAAATAAAGGAGAGGCTCGAGGATGTTGCTAAGCTGATAAAGGAAAACGCCGAGAAAAAAGAAGAACTCGAAACGTTGGTCAAAGAAGTCGAGGAGTCACAAAAGAACCTGAAAAAGCCCACGGACGAGGGAACCACAGGAAGCCCGGCGCCATCTTCACCAGGAGAGTTGGTGAAACTAAAGGAAGACCTATCCAAACACAAGGACTGGCTGGCGGAGAAGGATGATGAGAACAATGACCTCAGTCGTGAAAATGACGAGCTGAAGGATCAGGTGAAGAAGCTGGAGGGGGAAAAGGAGAAACTGGAAAAACAACACAAGGAGAAAGATAACAAGGTCAGGAAGCTCGAAAGTGAGAGAACAAGCCTCTGGGATAATAATTCAGAGCTAATCAACCACCGAACTACTCTTGAAGCCGACATCAAGAAGGTCAGGAGCGAGAAGGAGGAGCTGGAGAAGGAGAAGAAACAACTCGAGTCGGAACAGGCGACCAACCAAACTGAGCTTAAGAAGCTCCAAGACGAAAAGGACAAACTGGAGAAGCTCCGACAAGACGAGTCCAAGAAACTCAAGGAGTGTATGACAGCACGACAGAAGAAGGGGGACCTCGAAGGCGACGCCAAGAAGCTTGACGACCTTCGAAAGGAAAAGGAGAAGCTGGAAGCGCAGCATGCGACTGATCAAGACGATTTGGAAAAGGCCAGAGCCGATAACAGAGGTCTAACCAAGGAGAGGGACGATCTACAGCAGAGTCTTGAAAAGAAAGTCCAGGAGACAAAGGGTCTTGAGCAGGAGAAGAAACAAATGCACGTCGACTGCAAGGAAGAAAAGAGGCGGCTCGAGATGAATATCGAAGCCCTGCAAGAAAGACACGACGACAAGGAAAGGGAAGTGGAAGAGCTTCGTCATCAAGGGGATTCCAACTGGCGTTCCGCCGACGCTCTCATCAGGGCCGCCGCCAAGGCCGCCGCAAGGGCAGCCAGAAATGCCGGCAGTCCAGACGATGATGACGACGAAACTCCTACCCTGGGGGGAGCCGAGTTGTCACTCATGGACCGGATCAACTACCTCAACCTATCCGTCTTCCTGAGAACACGCAACTACGTCGAGCTCGCCCTTCGCGAAGGATGCAACAGGCTGGCAAACATGCTTATCCACGACGCCAACAAATGGGCCGAGCAGTGCAGAGAAGATCTCTCAAAGATGAACCCCAGCGTCAACAACCAGGTCCGAGCATCTCTTTACGTCCTCAATGGCCTCAAGAGGGTCATGGTCGCAAAAGACATGAACGAGATCAACAAGGGGGCACGAGAGTTCAAGTACGGACAAAAGATACTCGTCGCCCAAGATTCCGACCCAGCCACGTTTGGTCAACTCATCGATCTCGCCGGCAGCTTGGTCGAGTGGCTAGACAGACTCAATATCTCGCATGACCATCCCGAGATGCGTCGGGGTCTGCAGGTTGACAAGGTTTCTTGGAAGAAGAACATTGAGTTTGTCGTTACGAGACGGGCTAAGCTTCAGAGTGGATTGAGAAATGATCCAAACTTGAAGGCTAGTGTTTTGCGTCGTACTGGCCTTCATTCTCCCCTGACTCCAGAGAGGTGGGGTGATGATGTCGTTCTTGAAGAAGATCTCGGAGACGATGAAGTCGTGTCGCGAAAACGAAGTTCAGAAGACGGTAACTGAGTTCAGGAGTGTTTCTTTCATTTAATGTTTAACGGGGAGGAATTGGAGTCTTTGCAAATTTTGCATGTATTTCTTTCTTTCTTTATGTCGTACCAAACATGTCTCATAGGATCTCAGTCCTTTCCAATGTCATAACCCATATCGTCTACGGTATCCTAATAAGCTCAAACACGTGATGCTGCTTTTTCCATACCGATCCAAATCCGCTTGTAATAACGAAGCGTGTCCTTTTAATATCGTGATTCATAACTCTCTTTAAGGAGCGCTGTAACCGCCATCGATGACAAAGTTGGCACCGGTGGCGTAGGTGGAAGCGTCAGACGCAAGGTAAAGATATGCGCCCTGGAGCTCATGAGGCTCACCCTCGCGTCTATTTCTAGTTAGTCTCTGAGTATCTCCATGTCATCAAGATAAACTTACCCCTGGGGAATCTTGTCGTGCCACATCTGCTTGGTCTCCTGGGGCACAAAGTTGGAAATCTCGGTCATGATGTAGCCGGGAGAAATGGCGTTGGCGCGAGCATACTGAGCCCACTCGACAGCCAAACTCTTGACAAGGTGAATGACACCAGCCTTGGCGGCGTTGTAGGCGGCCTGAAGCTGGGGGATGTTGACGATGCCACCGCTCATGGAAGCAGTGGCAACGAAGCTGCCCGAGGTGTAGTTGGTCAAGGGCTCACCCGTAAGGGTAGTACCCTCGTTCTTCTGGCGACGCCAGTGCTTAGCAGCGGCCCTGGCAGAGTAGTAAGTGCCGTCAAGGTCAGTCTGGACGACATCACGGTAATGGTCGACAGGCCCGTCAACCATGGCGCCCTTGGTCCAGGGGATACCGGCGTTGGCGACAAAGATGTCCAGACGGCCATTGAGGTCCTGGACAGACTGGTCGACAGCCTTCTCAACTGCCTCGGCATCCCTAACATCAACCTGGTAGGCCTTGCCTGTCAATCGGGTCAGCGGAAGGTGATAGCTTTGGGGATAACCTCATGATGGTCAACCAATGTGGACTTACACTGAATGTTGTACTGCTTGGCAAGCTCCTCGGCACGCTCAGGTCCCTTGGAGTTGCTAAAGTACCAGAGAGCAATGTTGGCACCCATCTCGGCGTAGGCCTGAGCAACGGCCCAGCCGATACCGGCGGCAGCACCGGTGATGATGGCAGTCTTTCCCTCAAGGGAGAAGCGCTTCATGATGGATCCGCCATCGATCCAACGCTTGTCATTGTGGATAAAGTTACCTCCGTTGAGTGGGTGAAGATCAGACATGGTGATAGTTGTGTGGAGCTGTCAAGGGTGTTGTGGAAGAAGAATGGATAGAGAGGAGAGAAGGAGAGGAGGACGCGGAGGTTATGAATAGCGGCAGACCGGAGTGCTTCTAGCTCAGATCATGAGCTCCTACACCGAGGAACGGACCCTCATTGATTCAACACTCGTTGGATCGGATCCGCCCCCGTATCTCCTTGCCATTCTCCCGACTTCTCCCCCGTATTGCGGACAATGGGCATCGGACTAGTCGTTTACAAATCCCTGAAGCAACGGTCCACACATGGCACTACGATCCAACAATGGGTTATGCGGCGTCCCGGATAGGAAGTCCCGGGAACAGAGCCTGACGCAACGGCCCCAGACATCACCGCATCTTGGCGAGGGTGGCCCCGCTTCTAGGCTTCCGGAGTACAGCGGTTTGGCTGATACCTGGCGCGAACTGGCATGTGTCGGACGTCGAGTGGTGCGCCAGAAAGCACCGGGGAAACGCGGCGGATGAGCGGTCGACAGAGGTGAACATCTGCTAGAGCATGTACGACGCCGGTCGGCTGGAGACCGATGTTTGGAGCCCTGATCTGAGGGGCGCTGATTGGTCGGCATCCCTGCTTCCGGAACTGCCACCCTGGACCTTGAGGGCCTCACCTTGGAGGTGTAATGGTGCGTCGAGAGAGGCGTCCCTTGCTTGCTGTTGTGTTGGGTGTTAGGTTCATAGGGGACCTGACCTGGATCCCCGACCGCCGCTGGCTGTAAGGGCCACTGTGACGCTCTGCAATGCAATGGCGCCTAGAAACGCCTTCTATTTCTTCAGCTGGGCTTTTAAGCCTTGCCCCGCGCGAGTGAGAAGTGAGGATATCGACAAGGAAGAGGCAAACAATCAGTTCCATCATCTCATGGATCCAAGACCAAAAAGACCCCGACGTCACTGGTGGGGTTACCCCACCATAGCTCGAGGGCAGGAGGGACCTTGCGAAGGTACATGGTACTTGAAGATAGTGGGGGTTCCTCCTCCGTCTTCACCTTCTGTAAATGCTAATGCTAGGGTAGGAACCATCGAGGTCCCGGATATTGGACACCGACACTCCTTCCCATTCCCAGACGCAAGGAGCAGACGCGGGACGCAGATATTTTCTTGCCACGGGATCCGGCGGTTAACTCCCCACGTGCAAAGTCTCTTGCATGAATCATGCCATAATTTGTGACGCCGTTGATAGTCTTACGCTCGTCAATCACCGTCTTTAATCACGGTCAAGGTTTCTTACCAGGTTAAGAGACAGACCACGCGAGCAGGGGTCATCACAGCCGCCCGCCAGAGCAATCCATCACCATCCAACATGTCAGAGGCAAAGACAGAGATTGCGTCCTCTCCAGGGACTGCTCGACCATACGACTCTAAGCTGGGGATCGTGACTGGAGGCTCACGAGGTCTGTCAAGCACCCCATCTTGTCACCGTCTCGTGTCCTTTTTGAGTTGACTCGTCACAAAGGAATTGGTGCGGCTGTTGCTGCTAGATTGGCCGCCAAAGGATGCAATCTACTCCTCGTATACACGTCCGATTCATCGACTGAACCTACCAAGCAGTTCTGCAGTGAACTGTCGTCTTCCCACAAGGTTCAATGCTCTGCTGTGCAGGCCGACTTGAGCAGCCCGGCTGAGGCTGCAGAAAAGATCGTTGAAGCAGCACGATCCTTCTCTGGCTCATACAGCCCGAACAAGCTGTTCCAAATTGATATACTCATCAACAATGCCGGCGTTGCTTCAAATCAGCACATGAATGACCCTAAGCAGGGTCCTATTCAAGAAACCGAGTTTCAACGTGTATACTCCGTCAATGTCCTGGCTCCGCTTCTCCTCACACAAGCTGTCGCCCCGCATCTCCCCGCAAACCGAGCTGGCCGCATCGTGAATGTTTCGAGCGTATCGTCATCCATCGGCTATCAGGGACAGTCCGTCTACGCGGGGAGCAAAGCGGCCCTTGAAGCTATGACACGGACTTGGAGCCGTGAGCTGGCCTCTCGTGCCACAGTCAATGCTGTCAACCCTGGGCCTGCATGGGGAGACATGTATGCGGCCGCCGGAAAGACGTTTTGGGACATTAACCAGCCCTATGTCGACGCAGCGCCCCTGGCGCAATATGACGGCGAGGCTGATGTCCTGGCTATGGCAGGGCCGGACGCCGAGCGCTTCGACCATATCGTACGCGAATCGATGGGTGGCCGACGGCCAGGATTCACGAGTGAGATTGCAGGCACCATCGATATGCTGTGCTCAGCAGAAAGTGGATGGACGACGGGCAGCGTTATCTGTGCTAACGGCGGCATGAAGATGTCTATCGCTTAGAATGTTGCCTACGTTGTCTGGCAAGAGTCCTCCGATCCTGTCGCCATGTGCAAAGGGACGGTATCGACGGGTCGATAGGTCCAAGTTCCCATTGCAATGGTGACATCCGAGACGGCTTCCTGCTTCAACAGGCGGAAAACAAACATTGGAATCTCGCCCACGGCGAAAGTTGCTTTTACCCAGTACAAAAGGACTCGAGCTTCTCCCAGTGAAACCCCACGTGAGGCCATTTCGGCTCGACTTTCGTGCAGGAGGGTTGCCATAGTCGTTGGTCGAGCAAGTGTGTATGTGTGAGATGCGAATTCACTATCCGCACAGGCAACCACACACGAGGAGGCCCACGGAGGAACTGTCCCTCTTGAAACCCAACTCAGCCTGGCCCGTCGGGTAGTTGCTGAAATGGAGGCCCCTCCCGTCATTCCGCCGTGTGCCCAGAGGACGGGGCAGGACCGTTGTGTCTCTCAATGCGGTGAAACAGCCAACACAATCAGAGCAGAAAAGGAGATGCAATGGGGTTTCAGTTCTCCAGCCCTTCTGTGTTCTATTCTCAGATTCACGCCTTGGACGGGTTGCGGCATCACTGACACGGTGGCGTTTGCTGAAGGTTGCTTCAGTGGCTGACCATGATATTAAACGGAACATGTATCATGCCGAAGATGTTGAAACGAAGCATTCTCCGAAAGATGATGAGTGTAGCCATGATTTCAGGGATCTGGAGCCTATGTGCGATGCAACGAAACACGGTTAGCAGACTCGAAAACTCTGTCAGCTTGACAAAGCAGGCCTGGATTCTCTGTCATCCGTCACATCTGGGGTAGAAACCGAAGATACACAGGATGGCCCTACAAGATCGAGTCCTAAGCCTTCACGTTGTTCTGATTCGCTGGCAAAGCGACAAGACAATGTGAGATGCAAGAGGTGCCAATATCGACTCAGGAGTAAGACATTCCGCGTCCTTTCTCGAATCTGACCAAGATTGTCTGGGGCGAATATTGGATTTGATACGAAGTCGGAGCCGGAGAGTGCGAGATCTTGAACCATTCCCTTCCATGGCAACTCTTCAAACCAGCACACTTGTTGGCCTGGAAGATCAGGTTGAATGGCTGGTTGGCGCACAAAGTTGGTGACACAGCAGGCACTACATCTGAGTGCCTTGGATTTCTCCTCCAACCAAGCTTGCGCAAACAGTTTACGGACAAGTCATTGGCTGTGTGGCGAAATGTCACCGCGTGGACACTACGGGGTGAGCGGATGTTTCGCCATCCCTAGTTCCCACAAGACAGGAGGGATATTGTTAAAGAGAAAAAAATTGACTGCAAGAGGGCTAGGGATGTGTTTTATGGCTGCTTTGATCTCACCGTACCCATGCTGATAGTTGGGAGAGTATCGATCTCCTCGACTTGGTTGGCTCTCACGATCAAATGCAACCCTTGTCTTCTCGATGGTTCAAACTCTCCTTGACAGGAACCAGGGACCAGGAACAGAGTTTGAAGGCGACCCACATCCCGAGAGACGGTTGTCTGTCAGTCTCTTCTAGCCTCTTGGCTTAGAAGATGTTGCGAGTCGAGATGTTTCCACCGAGGAACCGCCCGATGATCAGCGCCGGCTTAGACACCGGCACATTGGGTTTACCGACTCTGCAATTTGTCCCGAGCTCGTATGTCTCATCCTATATCTTGAGTCGTTTGTTGTGAGCAGTTTTGCAGGTCGAGCCGTTTGGTTGAAGGTGACAGACTGTCTCAACCTTGAGCGCCCTAGGGCAGCACCAAGGTTGAGCAACTGGTCCGATGACAACGAGACACGGGTGCGTGATTTCTTCGGGTACCTGAGAGGTTATTTGTCTAGTTTGCATAGATGGAGACTATCCATCTGGCCATGTGGTTTGTCTAGATCCACAGGTTGTTGACCGACAAGACTGACTCGCCCCTAGCCGCCATGATTCATGCCAGTTGCCGAGGGTTCAAGATAACTGACCACACAGCTGCCAGTTGGCTGTCATCAGTTTGACTGAACTTCTACGTGTCGGCTTCCCGAATCACGGGTAGTGCATCGACCCGGCAGATCCTTCACGGCTTTGTCTGCAGCCCATGAGCCCTACGCCCGATATCACCACACTTGACTCTCCGTGGAGACCCTCTTGTTTCAAGTTTTCCCGATGCCTCTCCACACATACACTCTTAACTGTGTGGGACACAGCATGACCGACGAGTCAAGAGGGGAGGGATTCAGTAGATAAAGACGAGCAAGCAGCCCTCAGTTTCGAGGTTTTCCGCGCATCACTTTCACTTACTCTCGCTGTCCACCACCGTGCTACTTCGGAGATTGAGTCTCTGATACACTCCTTGATCACTCTCTTCACGTTCGTTGTGTCCTGTCATACTGCGCACACAGGTCACAGTCTCACTCGTTAGAAAGCTTGACTGAGACTCCTGCCTCTTTGCCTTCTTTTAAACCACACTTTTCTCCCTGCTGCCTCTGGAAGGCCCTTTTACTCGTCCTCTCGTTAAAATCCCTTGCTCCTTACACAGCTATCATGGCGGGCGGACACGCTGATCCGGCGTTTCTCGCCAAGCTCGCCCGGCGCAAGCAGATGAACTTTGAGTCTATGGCCATCTTTGCAGGGGCCATGGCTGGACTCTTTTGCCTCTTTGCGTTTCCTCATCTTCTAAGACGGATCGGAGCTGGACTCGGTGCTTCACGAAAGTCGAATGCTGTTACTCGGTTTTTTAGGTATGAGACTTTCTTCCCTTGGGGAAAGATGCTGTAGCTGACGATGCGGTAGAAAGATCAGAGGTGCCTGTCTACAGGAGTTTCCTTGGGTACCTTCAGGGGCGCACCTGATCCTCATCACTGCTTACCTGGCTATCAACGTTATTGTCACTTTCACCAACATCGACAACCAAAACATGTCGCTCCTCTCTAACGTGGCATCTCGAACTGGATGGTAAGTATCATGGCCATTTCCTTGTGTTCACTTACTGACAGGAGCAGGATGGGTATCGCCAACCTACTCATTACCATCTTCCTGTCTCTCAAAAACACTCCCCTGGCCATCTTGACAGCTTCATCCTATGAGCGTCTCAACATTCTCCATCGTGTAGCTGGCTACACAACCCTTATCTTTATTATTGTTCACTCATGCGCCTATGCTGCCATGTTCGGCATGCAGGGCCTTATCAAGCGCCTCACTGAGCGGGACGAGATCTTTGGAATGGTTGCTACGGGCTCGTTCCTAGTTCTCTCCATCACCGGCGCTGTTCTTCGTTCTTGGTGGTACGAACTTTTCTACTACATTCATGTGACTTTCTGGATTGTCGCCATCATCACGACTGGTCTTCATCAGCCCGAGCCGAGCAAGAAGGTCCTCTACGCTGCGGCTGTCGCTGGTGGGATCTGGTTCTTGGAACGTATTGTTCGTTTCATTCGTATTGTTATCAACAGCACCAACAATACCGTCACTCTTATGCCTCTCCCCAATGGCGGCACTCGAGTGACTCTTGCAAAGGCGCCCCTTAGGTCCGCCCCAGGCAAGCACGGCTTCCTCTGGATCCCAGCCGCCCGCGCCGCCGAAACTCACCCCTTCACCATCGTGGCCACAAACCCTCTCGAGTTCGTCGTCGCTGCACACGATGGGTTTACCCAGACGCTGCACAAGTACGCTCTCCAGAGCCCGGGGATCAAGCTCAAAGCGTCGGTCGAGGGTCCTTACGGCGCTTTTCCCGACGCGAGCAAGTATGACAAGGTTGTCCTCGTGGCAGGGGGCAGCGGAGCGAGCTTCACTGTCGGCGCGGCGCTCAACATGCTCGAGAAACTTGGTGAGGAAGACGTGAAGGAGGTTGAGTTTATTTGGATGATTAAGAATCAGAGTAAGTCGTATTCTTGAAACTTGAAGAATCATAACATCTGACCGAGGGATTTAGCATATCTCACTTGGTTCTCTGACCACCTCGAGACTCTTCGAAGTGACCGTCGGATCTCTGTCAAGGTCTACGTGACACGCGTCTCGGCAACCGAAATTGACACCGAGAAGCCCCCCTCGACGTCCAACTCGTCGTCAAACTGCACTTTTGTAGATTCAGATCCTGAGAAGGAGGCTCTTCCACGACTCACGACCCCAAGGCTGTCGGCAGACATTGAAAAGGAAGGCTTCTCGTCGCCTACCGAGTCCCCTGCCTCACCTAGCGCCGACTCCACCATGGAATTTCCTAGCGAAATTCCTGTCATGTATGGTCGACCTGACGTCGCTTCTCTCATCCATGGTGCGGTTGACGGCGTCTCCTCGGACAAGCGTGTGTTGGTCATGGGCTGTGGGCCTCGATCACTCATTTCCACGGTCCGCAACGTGACGGCCGAATGTATCACGTCTGATGGACCAAGCGTGGAACTGCATTGTGAGCAGTTTGGCTGGTAGAGGCTCCTTGATCAAAGAATGTCATTGGTGGTTGATCAAATAGAGGATGATGTTGATGCAAGCTCATGACGGAATGATCTGTTGGTGCCTGTTAAGGCCTTCATTATTCGATTACACATGAAGTAAATGAAACAACACGACTGATGATTGAACAATGAAACGTGATTCTCATGATGGCGACCTTTTTTGCCGCGAATTCTTGAAATATTCTGATTCTGCCACGTAGGGCATCCTGTACCATATAGACCGATTTCATATCGTCGTCCATATATATGTTCGTGTAAAAAAAAAAAAAAAAAGAGGTATATGTACCGATATCCCTTCAATAAGAGATATCCTGGGTATATAGAAAACATTTCATCCGTCATTGATCCAAACGACGCCCCCTACCCCCCTTTTTTCGCTGTTTATTTATCCAAGAGGTAAGAATGAGAAACATGAGGTATAGAAGAAGAAAAAGGGAAAGGTCATGAACATTAGTTTGATCGTGATATAACACCATTATTGTCCTCATTATGCTGCACAGAGGGCTGTGATGAGCGACGCCGTGATCCGAGGAACTTGGCGCCAATACCCCTAGTGCCTTTAGACACCATGTCGAGAAAGCCCTGTGACTTTTCCTTCATCGAGGTCGTCCGGCGCATCCTCTCGACAATGATCGTCTCCCAAGGGGAGGGTGCCTCTTCGTCTGGCCGGCTGAGGGCATCGCGTACAGCTGGACAAGGGTCGACCAGCTTCTTGGCATCAGAGGCGAACTCGAGAAAGATCGGGTAAGCCATCATGACAGCCTGCAAAGCGATGACGACGGAAAAGGCAATCTTGACAGTGCCGCCGTGCTTGATGATGCCGTACATGACAAAGGGGAAGAAGGCAGGGCCAGATCCACCCATGGTGATGAAGGCAGCAGCGCGCTTTGTGCGTCTACCTTGGCCACGAAGGCCAACGGCAAAGATGAGGGGATAGATGGGGCCCTCGAAGAAGTAGAAGAGGACGATGGGGATGACGAGGAGGTTCGGGTTGGGAGGACGGACAACCACGGGGAGTAGGGCGAAGAGGAAGCACATGGCGATGCATGTGGTGAGGACTGTGCGAGGTTGAGGGAGTCGAGCGTGGAAGACGGAGAGGTAGGTGAAGCCAGCTGCCATAAATCTCGAGACGGCAAAGGCAGTGTGAGCAATGAGGAGGTAGTCGGGTATAGAGAGAGCGATGCCGTGAGGCTTATCGGGGTTGCTTGTCTCGCTGGCGCCATTGGTCGCTTCCTCACCCGTATCGACGTGGTCGGGGAGGATGGAAATCATGAGGCTCTTGAAGTAGATGCTGTTGCACTCCTGAGCAGCGACGTACGTGTACTGAGCGATGAAGGCCAAAATGACGCTCCATGTGCGCAGTTGAAAGCCGCACGTCTTTCTCTGGGGGTCTGTAGGGAGGTGCTTGGCTGACTCTTCCAATTCGCGGTCGCTGACTTCTGGAAGAGGCATGTAGTAGAAGAACAGCCCCAGGGCAACGCAGAGCAATGTGATGCCAAGATATGTCCACTGGACGTTGATGAGAGACATGCTGGTCGTGTTGTCCTGCTCAGCAATACCCTTGAAAAAGACCTTCTGGGCAAGTAGGCCACTTAGAACACTGCCAATGCCTTGGATTCCTTGAGCAAGAAGCACACGCGTCTCGCCATATTCAGGGGGGCCACATAGTATCAAGAAGGCGTTTGCCCCGACCTCCAAGACGGAAAGTCCAAAGCCAACAACAAAGTTGCTAAGCATGAAGCCTGGGTAAGATTGAGTGACGGCAGAGGGCCAGAAGATGATGGTTCCAATGCCATAGAAGCAGAGGCCAACAATAAAGGTCACTTTGAACCCGCCCACGCTGTCATGGCCGTTGCGCTTGTGACGCCTCGATCGGTTATGCTCGTCTCTTCGAAGGATCCATTCACCCACGAGTAGAGGGCCAAAGAAGTAACCACCTCCAAAGTATACCGAGGTCATACCCAGCGTTTCAGCGGTAGTCATATTGTTGACGGACGCAATGACATTGTTGAGCGTGTTCAAGAGGCCATATGAGATGCCCCAGAGTAAAAAGAGGATCGAGACAATGGTGCAGTACTTGAAAGACTCCTTCTTGTTGCACTTGAGCATACTCTTGGGTCTAGCCATGTTGACAAAGCCAAAGTAGACGCCTTCTCCAGTTCCTGTCGAAGAAGTCAAGGTGGTCGAAGTCTGAAAGGTAGTCGTCCCTTGCTGAGGAGAATTGGCTAGTGGAGGTGCTGTCACCGTTGGTTCATCGAATGGCGTCGTCAAGAACTCCATGGCGCTCATGGGGGCGTCTGCCGGTAGGGGGGATTGGACGCCGGGACGCGCCACTGGCGGAGGAGGCTGCACGCTGGCGCGATGGCCCGTTGAAGGCGTGTCTGAATCATTGGGGCCCTTGGATAGACTGCTCCTGCTTCCATTGGGATCGTACAGCATGGAGGGGAGCAGCTTGAGAACAAGAGGTTTCAATGTCGGGACACAGGCGCAAGTCATTCCAACATTGACCTCGACAGCACTCCACATGAGTGATAGTGAAGCGTTCCAGGCAAAATCAGTCTGGCCGCCGAATCTCGACTGAGGGTCACCGCTGGCGCCGGTGGGGACCTTGGTGATTGCTTGCTGGAGGTAGTAGATCCGTATCACATCGACAACCGTGACAAAGATACCAACGGTGAAAGTAAGAACGAGAATCGTTTTTTGGCGCGAGGGCAAGCGCATGCCGGTGAGAACAGGTATAGGCAGGGCGAGGATGGCCAGATCGGTTACTATATTAACCGGGGAGGAGCAGATGAATTCGGTGAGCAACGGTATGCACTTGGAGCGGTCGTCATAGGCGGGATCCCAGGCGGCGGCAGTTGGACGGCATTGAAAGACGTTCATAAAGGTGAGGATTATGCCGGCAAGATTAACAATGGCAAGGACAAGCCAGGATGCGAAGCGTAGGACCCTTTGTGTGTGCTTGGCTAATCGCAGGTAGAATATCAAGATGGACGTCTTGGTGGCCATCAAGGCGGGATTGTACAGGATGGAAAAGACGTATTCGCAACGGCGGAGAGCGGGCCTCCGGCTCTCGTCGATGTTGACGTCGTGCCTTCCGAGGCCATTGTGAACTCCAAAGCAGATGGTGAAGGACAAGAAAAAGGCAAACAGCCATGCGAGCATCATGACGCGGTCATCCCAGGTAATGTTGCGGACGATAAATGTACGCGAGACCATGCGGGCAGCGACAAAGACGGTGGCGAGGACGAGGGTCGCGGTGGTGACGGCGAAGACGGCCGGCCCGCGATCGGGGAAGCCTCCATTGTCGGCGGAGGAGGCCGAGTCGGACATGTCGAGGTTGGGTTAGGCGACATGGGACTCGTAGAGAGTCGTCGAGAAGAAGAGGGAGGAGGTTAGCTTGAGAAGCTCGAGTCGCAAATAGACGGGCGTGCCATTTCTTCGGGAAGAGTGGGTAGCCCGAGGACAGGGATTTGAGTATATGCGAGGGCTTTTGAATCGAAAGAACCGGTCAAGATGGTCGGGCCAAGGTTCGAGTTATATCAAGTTGTTCGGTTAATGTTGGGTTTATAAGCTTGAGTCGCGTGGGCCGGAGAATCGTGGGATGGGATATATCGGATGACGACGGAAGGATGAGAGCAAAGGAGAAGAAGGAAAGTAGCAATTGCTTTAAATTTTGTCAATATGAGCCAAGCAAAAAGCAAGGCCGACCCGCCCCGAGGTTCTGGATCGCGAAAGGGGAGCACAAGAAAAGGGTTTCGTCAGGTTGGGCAGAGTGAGAAAAATAATCGACAACGTCTGGGGGGGTCGACGTTTGAATGGCGGCGGCAGCGGCAGCAACGTAACAGCGCGGGAGGGTGGATCTTGGAGTGTAAAAAAAAAAAAAAACCGGGGGAGTTCAGCCACCGACAGTCAAGCAATGAGGCTAAAAAGGGACCCAGCTTTGCCAGCTAATGGTGGGGGGGCAGTTGACATTGAACGGTAAATCAAACGGTGAGAGGATGAAGATCTTCCATTTCAATTTTGTAATAAGGACAAGGTCAGGGACAATCAAATCCACATCTTGTTTGAATTGACTCGAGGGCTCCAGGTACCCGAGTCCTGCCAAGGCCACAATGACAGCCTCTTGGGATGGCCATCGAGTTCGAGTTGCATGTAAAGAGGTCACTAAAGACATGCTAGTGACAGATGCTAGCTTCCCAAGCCCCCTCCAAGACGGGACAAGAAACGGATACGAAAATGCGGGTGATGCTGTCGTTACATGCAACCTTGTTTTCTACTCTACAGTACTCTACAGTACTCTTTTCCTCAGAGGGCATCGGCCCTTACTTACGTACAATTCTGATGCCATCGTTCGCTTATTGTAAAGAGGGGGAAATAATAAACATCCCATCCCATCTTTCAAGGTCCCTAAAAATCCCTCGCACCAAAAGAGAACTCTCCCCAAAAAGAGGGTGCCGGTGACGACGGATGGTGGCTCCGATAGCTTGGGAGTTGGTGGCTCTTGGCTTTTGGCTGATGGTGGCTTTTCTTGGGGGGCAGATCTCGTCTCGTTCGTCATCATCACTGCCACCCTCTTTTCCGCTGTCTTCAGCCTTTAAAGCCCGTCAGCAACAAAACTGGTGATGGTTCGCTTTCGCTTTCGGTCCTTTGTCGCAGCCAACATCTGCCGATCGAGACACACATCATCATCACACAACCTTTATTTGTCTCCCCAGAGTCTCGGTCTCTACAATTGACCTGCGGCTCCGCGCGCGGGTTGATTCATGATGGAGGGTTCTAGCTGACAGTGGCTGACTGACATCCTCCATTGCAAGCCACGCGCCTTCATTTCCCGCTACTGCTGCCGTTGCCGTTGCCGTTGCCGCTCACTTTGTGTCTGTCTCCCCCCGCTCCCGTTCTTCTTCCCTCCGGATTGTCTTGTACTTCACTTGTATCTTGGAGAGTTGTATCAACCATACGTCATTTTGTCTT